CTTGGGAGCTGTTACTTAGTTGGATGAGGAAATATATTACTGGTCCTTATGTGTGCTACGGTTTTCAAGCGACATACCCATTATGTAACGTGTTTCGTGGTTTGGCTCACATGCACTTCACAGGGTAAAATTGTGGCTATCATCCTACCTTTCTAACACAGAGCTTAAAAAGGATTTGACGCAGAGTAAGTCATATCAGACAATTGGGATATTGTACTTCCTCATCTAAACGACCCGTCTGCACTAGAATCAGCTGGTGAAATGAAGTTCTACTGCTTGTCTGGCTCAGACAGTAGTGTTCAGATCCTAGGTGTGATTATCGGCACTGGTATTTCATCCTATCACGTAAATAAAATGCGGAGCACCTGCACGATGCCCTTTCGTATACAGAGGCCTTATGAAAGCACTGAGGCAGGCCATAGAGGTGCGTTGAGAATCCAGCTTTCTGTTGCTTCCTTTAAAGCTTGGATCGCAGTACTCTGTCTCTGATGCAGTGCTTCTTCCATGATGAATGGTATTTTATTCTTATTCAACCTGTCACACAGTTTCAACAGCAGTTTATCTCCCTTTGAAACCTTCAGCATCATTCATTCATCATCCTTGCACCTCAAATTAACCGGCTATAGTAACCTTGTGGATCGTGATAATCTAAACGCACAGCTGTAACTCAACGACTGCGTACACGTCAAATAAATCTCAAGTTTGTCAGCAAGAAAACTAGGCGACCTCGTCAACATAGCTTTCGACTGTGCTGAGTTATTTAAATCTTGAAGTAAACCGCAAATGGAACTCACTTTAAAGCGAAATCATATTTTCACAAATACAGTCAAAGACATATCGATGCTTTTCATACATGTATTTTGGTTCACAAACGATTATGGGTTTTAACGCTAAAAACACATTCTGAGGGGAACTTTTAACATAATCTGAAGTAGTTTGTCAAGGGTTGTCACTAGAATATAATTAATTTAGGCCAGAATAAAAGCTCGATGCCATGCCTTCTCAACGGCTAAAGTCTGCCACCAAAGCATAACGACCATGAAGAAAACCATCCCTACATAGCTTCAACGGGTGAATAGACAATCATCGTATAACTTTAACGTAATTTTCGCGTGTCACAATATTTATGGAGTTTGATCGTTCCGTATTTCTTCAGTTCTTGAACGCTTATGATTTGTGTCATGATCTGATAAGACCTTTAGAAAATGGCCTCCTAAGCGGCTCCATGGATCAAAGAAGTTTATTTTTGTGCTGGCCGCAAAAGTGGGTGATTGCCTATTCAGAAAATTTCCATTCTCCTTAAATCGTTTTCACTATTCCGACTTGCGTACTCCATTCTTTCCAGACTACAACGCTTTCCTGTGAGCCAAACTTTTGTCGCACCACTTTACAAATGATGTGACCTTATTACGGCTCGTACTTTTTCCAGACGGATTCATACTTGGAAAGAATCCTTAAGTGTTGATTGTCCACCACGGTAACACGGCACATAATAAATAGATAGTAGACAGTTGAAGTGTTCAGTACAGTGCACGACGACCAATTAACTAGCACTTACTGTGAACGTCCGGGATATTTCAGAAACACATATTCATAGTACGTGTCTAAGGAATCACGCTGCATCAAGTCCGTCTAGTGGACCGTTGAGTCACATACGGACACGAATTGTTCGGAAAGTTTTTCTACGGGCTCTTTGTTTATCTAGTTTTCCGGGTTTTCCAATACTAATTTTGAACTCACCCTTACACCCACAAAACGTCCTGCCTGACTTAAAACCGTGTACATGTCCCCTTTTAAAAATGTTGCGAAATTTTTCTCATCTTCTGCAAACATCGAGACAAGAGAGGTCACTTCCTATCCAGAACTTCCCTTCTGTAGAATTCCTTATTGAAGATGTCTGTGACGAATATAATGAGTAATGCAGGGGAGTTGTATTCATGTTTTTTGCACTACCAGTTAGCTATTCCTCAACAACGCGGTTACGCTGACCTGCTGTCCTATACAGCGATTATTTTCCCAAGAAAACCATCAGTATTTTGAACAGATCCTGCATCCGTTACATAAATACAGTTGTTTCAGTTTTAACTCTCGACTGATGATTTAACAACGCCCTGTTATCGCTCTCATTTGATCACTTGCATATTTTTTATTCCAACAGGACCGCCTGTGATTAAGTCTAATACTTTTCTGAGTTCCATTCCATGTGAAAAGCTTTGGTTACAAATAAATCTATGCACCACAATCTTACCTGTGTGTTTTTTGGAACATACACCTCGGTGGCTTGGGGGGCTTTACGCTTCTTTATCAATATGTTATTGGAAAGTAGACTCGTTAGCTAGAGTGAATATCTGAACAGTTGAGAGAATTTATATGTGGGAATAAATCTAGCCGTAGTCCTGAGCTTTTCATGTACAGTCAAAACCGTTGGATGCCCATTACTTGTAAATCGGAACCACACAGCGCTCCAAGATTACATCGGTTTCTCTTTAGCCTTCAATCAGCCTAATTTAGGACACCAAGTGCTAAGCCCTGGGGTTTACCTGATATGGGAGCCCTCATCCTCGAAAGCATTGTCAAAAGTCGAAGCTGAGCAGACAGCTGCTTAAGTAAAAGGTATTGATTGGTAGATGGAGAAACACGTATTCTACTACTATTGGTTTGTTCTCGTCCAGTGAGTACAAATGTTAGTTGACTGCCATACTCATTGATGCTCTCGGTGTACTTTCGACGCTACCAATTACAGACCGGTAATTTCCCCGTGTTGAAGTTTACCCAACTGTTACCCCATTCCTTATATGATCAAGCAGTCAAGCATACGTTTACGAAAGAAGGGCAAATAACTGTATTACCGGCAAAAAGTGCTTGTCACATACCAACAGGTGATGGAAGGGAATTTCGAGGTTCCAATTTAAAACAAGTGTATTTCCGAACATCCTTAGCCTTCCTTTATGTAGGATTGTTGTTTCTCTTAATGGTTCCTTTAAAACAATTGGAGCATGCAAGAGAGTTTCTACCTTATGTTTTAGACAGTCTTAACTCATTTGTAATGTATTTCCTTTATGTAACTTCCAATTGTATTAATTCATTTAAGGCCACATTATAAAGCATCAAACAAACACGGTTTAAGCCAAGTTCTTACCATCTGATGAGAGGAACATGAGTGTACGGAGTCATGCATTTTCAACCCGCATTAGGCACGGGTTCAATGTGGCCAGACTCCTACAGTTTCTTACCGAATTATAGCTGCCATCTGGACGTGGTGAGCTGGCTTGCGCGCTGCAATAATTCCGCAGACCACACTGCCTGGAACTTTGTTCTACAGGATGCAATTATGCCATAGAGGCTGAAAGAACGCATTCAGAACTCGCACTTCGAGTAATCGTACTTCGAGGTCATCAGAGGTCCGCTCAACCGTTGAGCAAGATCGCCTGCTAGATCCCCAGTACGGTCGGAGCCCGAAGAGGCTCCAAACTAGTCTGCTGTGCGTGACAACACCAGGAATGTCCAAATACATGCGCCCTCAGCTTGGGCAGCCCTCGGCAACCAAACATGCTAGACCCTTGAGTCGTCGGCTCTGAATGTGGTTCTCAAAGGAAATTTTTCAGCCCGCTGCAATGCGGGTCGCAACATAGGACCGCGGTCTCCGAACAAAACCCTACATCCTTCTGTCATGCAGATCAGACTTTTGAGGCTACCTCAACTAAGACAACCTCAACTAAGCCCTTCACTCTGGTCTGGACAACCGAAAAGTATCATTGGTTAGCGCAGCTTTTTGCCCACCGTTGTCCCTCCTCAATTTCTTCACATCTACAATCAAACGTCACTGGATCATTTGATTGTCACTCGTCTGAAAGTTTGCTTTATCTGCGCCGCTGCTCAATGACGATAAATCCACGAGAACCTTTCTACAACGCCCGTCCTCTGTGTCCAATGGCAAAAAGATGGTGTTTTTTAGATCTAATACTTCCTAAAATAGTTTTATACCGTATCTCCGAAACACTCACGCAAGATCCAAACAGGGTCATGCATCCCAAACCACCAAGGTCGGATTCAGCTATTTCACATATAACTCTTTAACACCGTCAAGGATAACATGACAGGCTAGAAGCTCAGATTTCATTATGGTTGAGAGACTTAAACGCAATTATTTAGTTTATCGAGGACTCACCTGAATAGCTGACTTGGGTTAGACTCTATACGTACAGACTGCGGACTATTCTTTTAACCGTGTGCTAACCATGAACTGTTTTGTGAAGAAGTGACTTCCGAACTAAACGGAGACGTCCCGACGAAGGGGGCCCTCATAAAGCATACCAGCCATTGACCCAAATTAATCATCTCATCATCATTCATCAGTGGCGTGGATTAATGGCTATCTTTTGTTTGGATGTTCTCTTTCCTTGCCGGAGCCGCTTGAGGATCACTGGCTTAATAACTAGAAGACTGGCAGATCCAGAAGATAAAGGAATTTTCCGCTCTTACAATGATGAGTTTCTAGGGTTTCAGACACTGAAATAATTACAGCCGGTTAGCACTAGATTTATTTCCTTCATTTTCTCACAATATAGCGTTCAAATAAATTGTTGATTGGGTGGATTGGATGGCAACAAAACATCAGTGTTGAAAACTGATGGCGAAGCACATTGTCACATTTCTCTAGAGATATTGGTGGATCTGATAGTTATTCGGGTTTTATCAGCAGATCCTGTTCACAGTATTATATTGTGCCTAACTTAGATGATCTGACGTCACCGATCTGCACCAGAAGTAACTTCACTACGTATTTCTGAGTTTTGTTAATGCTATCTATGTCCGTGTCAAACTGATGAATTGACAAACTATTTGGACATGGTATCAGACTGGTTTTGTCCTGGAAATCGTTATTTACTCTGCACTGCCTCTGTCTCTGCGGATACAGTTGTGTACTCATTTGTGGTTTCCGCCATAGGGTTCCGCTAGGGACTGTATATTTATGTACTTTTTGGTCTTCTAGAGTTCAGCTGCTCAAGTCCGCTGGTTTCATGACAGATCTGGATTCGGAACGCCTAGTGAAGGAGATATGGATTCACGAACATGACCTATGATAGAAACGGCGTCAGCTAAACGCAAACACATTTAACGTTTAGTCAGTTGGCCTTTAGTCATCTGCCAACCAAAGCGATGGAGTATTTTATGTGAAGTCCTTAGGGGACATGAAATGAAAAGTGTATTTTCTGGCAAATCACAGCACATTGGATTGGTAACGAACATCATATCCCAGGCCGCGGGATTACATTCTCCAAAAGCTTTCTGATTGCTTGAGTTGCATTTTCGTCTTAGAAACAAATCGACCAGGAATAAAATTTACACATATTGAAAGAAATGTCTTTGTCTATAGCCCCAATGTGTCACAAACTGAAGGCTCCGCGATGGAAGAAAATAGCAGGCTTTGATTTTATAGACGTTAGTCCCACTGGCTCAACTAAATGTGACTCGGAATTTGCCTTCCTCACTGTACTTGGAGCCAGCTGAAACCGAAGGCCCCGGGACACTGTGCGGCTGCTTAACCCTTACTTGATTATGTGTTGAAATACTGGTAACTCGTGTGAGTTGGCTGTTGGTCATGGGGCTGCTGATACGTTTGTCGAGGTGACAAATGACTTGCAAACATTTCGTTACAATACGAAGAGACACCATCAGTGCGTAACTGCGCGCTGGCTAGCAGGTTTCCACTTAGTGAGATTACTTTAGGATCCACAATCTTACAATAGTAGGCGGTCCTACTCTTGTTGCGCTCTTTTAGGGAAGTTCTTGATATCGTATGTATAGTGAATCATCAAGGAGCTTATTTGTAGTCACTCCTAGTAGTCACTCGCCTACTGGCCACGTTAGTAAAGTGGGACTAAGATGTCTTCCCAAACAACAGGCTGCTGCAGCGTACTTGACCTCTGAAACCGAAAAACTGCATACGACCGTTTACCACTGCAATGCTTATAGAAGTGTGTTTTACTTTCCTACCGGTGGGGAAACCCAACAGGCAATCGACTGCTGATATTCTATACAAAACAGGAGCGTCAGAAGCCATCTAGCGGCTACCCAAAAGGGGAAGACTGTGCTGTGCACTAGTCCAAGTGGAGGATCGCCTCCCGGAGACTGTCTTCAAGACTAAATGCAACGACTACATTGAAACCCGCATCGGTGAGCACAGAAGAAAAATAAACATGCCGCCGAGGAATCCAGAAGAATATCGTGCGTTACTGAAATACAGCAGTGACGAAACATATACCGAACACGGGACCTAAAATAGATTTAGAAAATGTTGAAGTTTTGAAACATGGACTACTGCCCACGCCACATAGACTGATGACCGAGGCTGCGGAAATCGTCAGGTATTCTCGTGTAAACAGGATAAAGGCTTGGAACTGGCAAGCGTGTGGACGACGGTTTCAGATCGGTCGAGCTGATGTGTGATAGTGTGTGGTTATCACACAAGGATAGAAATCAACAGAGGTAGCTTAGTTCTTAAGTGAAGTTATTCTCATCCCCACCCCACCCCAGATAAATTAGCGTAGAAAACAGGGACTACTGCCCACGCCACATAGACTGATGACCGAGGCTGCGGAAATCGTCAGGTATTCTCGTGTAAACAGGATAAAGGCTTGGAACTGGCAAGCGTGTGGACGACGGTTTCAGATCGGTCGAGCTGATGTGTGATAGTGTGTGGTTATCACACAAGGATAGAAATCAACAGAGGTAGCTTAGTTCTTAAGTGAAGTTATTCTCATCCCCACCCCACCCCAGATAAATTAGCGTAGAACTCACAAGACCACAGAGACCAACGAAATCTAGGCAAGGTGAATAATCAATTAAAGCACCTTGAAGTGGAAGACCAAGGAACCAAACCAGATGGAAAATAAGTTGAAATTCCTCCAACCCATCAACTGTAAGATGTAGGCAACCACACTAACCAATCAGACCCCTTACTTGGTATTCATCTTTGATCTAGTGTGCTAAGCTGAAGAGGTCTTATTGATTGGTTCTTCGTCTCCTAAATGCCTAGCCAAATTGGTGACCTTCTGACCTAGCCTGATGAAGCTCTTGTTTGTTTACCAAGCCAATCTGAAACGACCAACCGTTCTCTCCAGCAAATATAAGAAGTGCTTTACTTTGGAAAATCAATGAACTGCCAGGCAGGATGCTACGTGTGAGTTGTATGTGTACCCCTCCCTCCCCCAGAAAACACAATGAGTACCAGAAACACCAACGAATTAGCGGTTTTGACGGTCGAAATAAAATGGCGCAGTGGTGGAGCTAGCTTCACAGTTATACCGTGTGCTAACTGATGCCCCAACTGCCCTCAGCAGTACTCAACTGATCCACCCAATGAGAATGGAAAATTACATCGCACTGGTGCCTCCAAACGCAGCCGCTCACGTCAGACTTGTTATGCTAAAAGATAGGAAAGAAACATTTCTGAAAGACTAAAAGCGCTTTTCCTATTACCACTCGAGAAATATGGAAATATTTGCAGATGAAAACGCATCGTGGCTTGGCCTTGGTCAAAAAGCAACACAAGTAGTCAAATTACGTACATCTTTAGGAAATCCTAAAGTAGAAGTATGGTTTACTGTCATAGCAAAATAACGAATTGCGTGAAACATAGTCCGTCCTTCACAGACCTACCGTTCCTATACGGATATCTGGTTGCCATCGAAAGGTAGTGGAACGGAAGCAAAATTTTTAGGGATTCAACCTGTGCCAAACTTCATCCTAACCGCTGTTGCAAATGTGTTAAAAAATAACCTTGTAAAGATTAGGAAACATAAGCTTAGCTTATCCAGTAGACTCATTTCGATTAGTCTACTGATGGGAGTTGCTAAGTAGCAATTCATTTCTTGGGTGATAGTCCTCATCGCTATTCAGCCAATTTCAACACCAAACACTCAATACGTAGAGCTCGGCAACTTGCAGCAGGCTCTCAATCCCTTCTTGAAGGCGGAGAGAACAAAAATAAGCATGCAGTATGTGAACGAAACCTCAGACTTAGTCCTCAGGTTTATACGCTAGTGACAAGCCCGGAGCACACCAAATTTGGTGAGGACGCTTTCAGTGCCACTGGCAGTCCCCGGTGGGTTGATAAAACTTTCGCAAATTGCTAACATTTACCGTTGGGTATGATGGGCATAACTGGTCTTACAGCATCCGTATGACAGTGGAAGAGGGGAAACTACATGAATGTGCTCAGTTGAGGACAGGTCTATGTCCGTCTGTGGCAGGTACAGATAGATGAGAGATCACGAGTCAGTCTTTGATGGCTTTCAGCGGATGGTTCTGTGGTGCATGTGCGGCTTCCCTAGTCAAAAGAAAAAGTGAGCCTTGTCTGGCCAATCGAATAGGACCCAGAATATCCTGCAATGTGCTGTTTGTCTAGTAGCATTATTACGATTGTTTCACTTTTTTATACATTCCTTAGCTCGTCTGATTCTTGTTGATAAATCAGTTGCATGTTTCTACTCCGTGTAATCACTAGTAAACTTGTCTGATCCGTTGTTGAACATACCCGGGCATTCCGTCGTCTTACACTCGTGTTTTAGGTTGGCTAGGTAATCTTTTTGCATACAACCTTGACTCCCACAACCGTTTGTTCATTGACGAAAGGGCAAAACTAATTGCGTCATTGCAGCGGGTTCACAATCTGGCAAAAAGTTAGACCGCGATTGGTCGACAAATAAACACAGTGCCAGGGTCAAAAGTGGAGTTGCCCTGGAGGCCAAACTGCACAAACCGAAAATGCACCTAGAGTTCCGCTAACTAGGCCAGTGTAGGAAGTACAGAACTATTTTCAACGGGGCCGTCGTAAGAATAGAAAAGAACCCGTCCATCGACATACACACGATAATGAGAAAATCAATGTGAAAATATCTGGATGTGTTAAGGCTGTGGATGGATTGGATAATGCTCCTCCGGGATGACGGAATAGCGCCGGACACGACATTAGGGTGGAAAAGAACTCTCGAGTGGGTCTAAGCTGGTGACGTTTTGTCATCATCTATTTTGCGGCCTTAAACCCTGCTTCAGGTGAGGTCAGCAGCCTCCAGTTAATAGCTGGCTCGTTGAAGCCCAACAGGTCCATGTATGTGGTTGAGCTACGTAGGAAACTTAAAAGGACGTTAGAAGATCATCGGCGGCATTTGTTGGGGGATGAAAACTAACAGTGGAATGGGCCAGTAATAGGCCAGTAACGATGCGGATTAAGCCACGATGTACCGGCGAATTATTATTTAGGTAAAGGTGAAAATCACGGTAATGGCTGGGGAAACCTGAACAAGAAAGCAAACCACACATTGCTTGAACAGGTTGAGGGCCAGAACGATTCGCAATGCAATCCGGGAGGAATTGCTAAATTTTACACATTTGAAGTGAAAGAACAAAACGTAACGTCGGTTACTGAGTTGCCCAGGTTGATAACTTGTCATGGACACTTGTGCACCACAGGTCCAATCAAGAGACACCAAATGATATGGTGTATGCATTCACAGCCTACTTCTATTGACTCAGTTACTTCAAGGGATGAAACTGCTATTGCGCCGAATCCGATTCCCAGGATGTGCCTAAATTCTACAAGCTACTCGTTAAAAAACGTCAAAAGTTTTCACAGCTGTGGCGCGTCGCAAGCAGACCTTTACATCCAACCGTATCACTTCTTAGCATTCTTAAGAAATCCAAGAAACAACATCTTGATGATGTTGGTTTAGATATCTTGCTTGGTCTATAGTTATCCGCTTCAGAATCTCAATAGAGAGTTGGCACCGATGATCGTTTTCTAATGCTGTAAATAATTTTCCTGAGATGGCCCAAAACTTCACGTTTTAACCACAAAATCTTCCTCCTCCTCAGTAATTGTTGAGTTTCAATTGTCTAAAAAACCGGTTTAGTAAGCTTATTTCCACACACAGCACTATTACTGTTTGTTGCAAATTTTGTTGGGGGCCGCAAGTGTTCATGTATTGCTTTTATTATAACAACTATGTGTGGATTTTCTTGTAGTTCCAAAAGCAACCACATAATCCGTCATCTTAGTGAAGGCTCTGTGGAACGTATCTCA